TTTTCAGAACAGATGTAAGAACAATATTAAAAATCAATTGTTCACAGAACAATTGAAGGTCTTTCCACCAGTAAGGATCTATTTTGATATGAAAATATTAAAATTTGGTTTTAAATGTCAATTTCAGCGTCAAATGACAGCTTATTGTACACTGATTCCAAAAATATATGGTTTCTATACAAAAAGATATAAATAAGGGAGATAATTTTTTACTTCCGGTTCAAAAAAATGTTACCTCCGGTATTGTTTGATAGTTTACTTGACACTGATTCCAAAAATATATGGTTCTTTATACTTTTACAGTAATTTAGTACAAAAAATAGCTACTTCCGGTTTACAAAAGGTCACTTCCGGTTGTTTTTTTCAAGGTCACATTGCTTGCAACCTAATGCAAAAAATCCCATGGCATTATCATGTATACATATGAGGTAAAAGCAAAGGTCAAAATCTAGAACGTTAAATTTACCTATGACCTTGAGCTCAATTTCAAGGTCATAAGCCAAGGACCTCAAATAAAGAGACTCTAGGCCTCTACTTTAAATTGTTTATGAGTTATATTACCATACGACTAATATTAGATATAAAAGGGGGAAAACTTGCATCAAATATCTACGTATCCTTTCAACTAAAATTTATGTGTTACGACATGCCGCAACTAACAATTGTGTGAAAATATTTTGTCGATAATTATATGATTTCTGAAAATAAGAGATAACAAGCCAAAATCAAAATTTTGAACATGACCTTGACCTCATTTTCATTTTTTTGGACCAAGGACTTAAAATCAAAATACCCTAGGCCTCTATCACTTATGGTTTTCCAGTTAAAAATACATTTCATTTATATCAAATACAAAAGGGGAAATAACTCTCATATGGAATCTCTATACGGCTTCGGTCAAAATAAAACAGAACATCCTGAGGATATAACGAGCAATTTGGAAAAATAAATTTGTTGGTTTCTTATACGGTTGCGAAGCCTTAGAGATAACAAGAAAAACAGTGTTTGGGGAGATAACTCTTATATGGGAAAGTATTCGGTTAAGCGGTGTCAGTTTCAAAAGCGTATAAACTGTTCGATATCATATTCCAAATATCTAAGCGACATCTTGCAAAACAAAAAAACAGAGAAGGAAAAAAATTAGGCGGAAGAAAAAAAAAAAAAATAATAATAATCAGAAGAAAACCAATAGGTCTTTCCACGGAAAAGTGGAAAGACCTAATAATCAGAACAAAACCAATAGGTCTTTCCACGGAAAAGTGGAAAGACCTAATAAACAGAAGAAATACAGTAAGGTCTTTCCCTTTTGAAAAAGGAAAGACCTTAATAATAATAAAAAACAGAAGAAATACAGTAAAGTCTTTCCCTTTTGAAAAAGGAAAGACCTTAATAATAATAATAATAATTAAAGCTGATTTTGTCTTTTCAGAAACAGTTAACGGGGGTTATGCCCCTTACGGATAGGTCAAATCTCTTCGGTCATAATTTAAAAAAGTTGCGCCTTAATGTCCCAAACATTTTTCACTTTTTACTATTTCTGTAAGTATAATCGTTTTTGAAATATCGAATAAAAAGTTGTAAGGTCAAAGGTCAAGGTCAACCTTAAAAACCTTTAAAACACACTTTAAATCCTTTAAATAAGGTCAAAAACACATAATTCGCTATCTGGGAGATGACCTTGACCTTTGTCAAGGTCATTGGTCCCAAATGTCATTGTTGAAGATCCCATGGATCTAGGACCTTTGGTTATATAGTAAAAGCTGATTTTGTCTTTTCAGAATCCTAAAACAGGGGTTATGCCCCTTACAGAAAGGTCAAATTTCTTCGGTCAAAATGTAACAAAGTTGCGCCTTAATGACCCAAACATTTTCCACTATTCAAAACTTCTGTAAGTATAATGGTTTCTGAGATTATCCCATAACAAGGTGTAAGGTCAAAGGTCAAGGTCAACATACAAATTTGACCTTGAGGCATTTTGAAAGTCACATGAATTGATGATCATTGGCGAAGATCCTAGGTGGCTACGACTTACGGTTTCTGAGTTTTGATGGCCAACCGACACCGGTTAATTTTCAAAGGGGCATAACCCTACCAATGAGTCGTTGAATCTTTTCGATCCAAATGTAACGAAGAACCGGGGTCTGGTCCTGAACAAATTTCACCCTTTGCTTTTTTTCTACCTATTACGGTTACGGTGTTTGAATGATAACAAGGTTTTTAGGTTTCGGAGGGATAACTCCGGATCGACAAAATTTCACGACTCACAGGGTGAGGTCCGGATAGGTATTTGTGACACCGATACAAAGTGTGAACCTGAAAGCAACATGGCTTACGGTTACGGAGGAAAATTTTGTCAAAGTTTGGCGAACAAAAAGAATAATAATAATAATAATAATAATAATAATAATCAGAAGAAATACAGTAAGGTCTTTCCCTTTTGGAAAAGGAAAGACCTTAATAATAATAATAATAATAATAATAATCAGAAGAAATACAGTAAGGTCTTTCCCTTTTGGAAAAGGAAAGACCTTAATAATCAGAACAAAAGCAATAGGTCTTTCCACGGAAAAGTGGAAAAACCTAATAATCAGAACAAAAGCAATAGGTATTTCCACGGAAAAGTGGAAAGACCTAATAATCAGAACAAATACAATAGGTCTTTCCACAGAAAAGTGGAAAGACCTAATAATAATAATCAGAAGAAAATCAATAGGTCTTTCCACAGAAAAGTGGAAAGACCTAATAATAATCAGAAGAAAATGTAATAAGGGAGATATTAGGTACTTCTGGTTTATTGAAGGTCACTTCCGGTCTCAAATGATAGGTCGATGTATGTGTATTTAAAAAATAAATAGTTTCTAGGTACTTTTCCATGAAATAAGTGCAAAAATGGCTACTTCCGGTTTACTCCAGGTCACTTCCGGTTGATATTTTTCAAGGTCATATGTCAACCAACAGTTTGCAAAAGACCCTATGGCTTTATCATGTACAAAGTTGGAGTTATAATCAATTAGCCTTTAATTAAATCATTTCAGGGACAATAACTCCTATAAGATGTCATAGGATTGTTTCACACCAAATGTATCATATCTTCATCACAATCAGGCAAACATTTTGCACTAGTTCTTTTATATATATCTTTAAAAGTGACAAAGGAGATCATAAAACAAGGAAAAGTCCAAATTTAGAATATGACCTTGACCTTTGACCTTGACCTCAATTTCATTTTAATGAACCAAAGGCCCTAAATACATATACCTTAGGTCTCTATCACTTACCATTCATGCCATACATTAATGTATCACTTATGTCAAATACAGAAGGGGAAAATGGGAAATAACTCTCATATGGAGTCTTCATATCGCTTCCATCAAAATTGGACAAAAAATCCTGAGGATAGAGCGAACAATTTGGTAAAATAAATTTGTCGCTCTCTTTTACTGTTACGGAGGAGATGCAATAACAAGGAAAACAGTGTTTGGGGAGATAACTCCTACAGAAAAAAGTATTCGGTTAAGGGGGGTCAATTTCAAAGGCGCATAAACTGTGCGATATCATATACCAAACATCAAAGCGACATCTTGCGAAACAAAATTTACACGCAAGAAATAAAAGTGGCGGAAGAAGAAAAAAAAAATAATAATCAGAACAAAACCAATAGGTCTTTCCACAGAAAAGTGGAAATTGGTGCATTTTTCCTCTTCCACCATTTTATTTTTATTTATCATGATAGTTTAAAAAAAAAAATATTTCTCTTCCCCTTTTAAACAGAGACGATGAGATGTATCATGTGTTTGTCAGTCCTTGTGTCTTATGCATCCTATTATGTAGTTGTGTAAAGTTTGAAATACTCCAGACTTCTGACTGGTCCTTATCAAAATTCTAACGGGACTAGAAACACTGATGAATTTCAACGTCTATGTTTAACTGTACATATAATATTTTAAAGTTACTTGACAGTATTGTGTGATTTTATTTGGTTATGGTTTAAATGAGGATTTCCTCGATCTCCTATTTTGGAGGTGAAGATACAGATACAGATTTATACATATTTACAATTCTTTTAAGCTATTTCTATTGGTGGCACTCCCTGCACATCTAGTGTGTTGCCTTAGCGGGTGGCATTTTGAGGCCAACACACTTAACGTGGTACCACTCCAGACACCCGTCGCAAACTATAGATCCATATAAATGCACGTCTATATCGAACAATAAGCAATTCCATTCTGAATACACCAATCTTGATTTTTTTTTTAATGAATGAGTTACACCGGTTGATCCGAGGTCAATCTGCGTAGATGAAGTCATCGAACAATCTGTGCTTACAGTGATGTAATAGCATAAGCATTTTAACGAATTCGAAAGTTGTCTTTTGTGAGTTGTTTTAATCGACTCCGTTTGGCAAAAGTGAACGTTACATAGGTCAATACATCTGGACCATGTTAAAGATTTTATACATCACAAGTTAATTGTTTAAATTTATTTCACAGATTGCACGTAAATCAAACATTTTTTTAGATCAGTGTCTGTCTGAATATATTTTTCGGGTAACAATAACTACAGGTAACAATAAAACATGATATTACCAGTAGTTCCCAATAAACTGACCTAATCACAAACTAATACATCGTTGACGACGCCGCCGCCACCGACACCACCAACGCCGTCGGTAACAGCATACCTTAGTCTCGCTTTTTGAATCCGTCAACTGCATACCTGCCAGCTTTTCAAAATCTCCATGGGGGATTTTAAGCACACGAAGAACTAATGATATCTTATATTGTTATAAATGTTCTTAATCTACTACTGTGTTCTTTTGAATGAGTATATATGTGTGCTTAAATACCCTTTTAACTCATTTGAATGCCTGTTTTTAGAAGTTCAGTTTATATAATAAAGAATTTCAAAATTCAGGTAAACACCTTTCATGGGGGATATCCCCATAAATCGGGATATTTGGCAGGTCTGGACTCAAGGCGAGACAAAAAAAAACCCAAACATTTCAAATATGAAATATTTATTTACCTGTATATTTTCGATACAATTCATATTAGCATGATCTAATTTTGAAAACAAATTTCATCTCTTAAGGCAAATATATATTTGTAAGTGACAAACAAATCAGAGTGATCGAAATCAGAAAGAGGAATATTTGTTTGCATGATCGAAATCAGAAAGAGGAATATTTGTATGCATGATTGAAATCAGAAAGAGGAATATTTGTTTGCATGATCGAAATCAGAAAGAGGAATATTTGGTTGCATAGTCGAAATCAGAAAGAGGAATATTTGTATGCATTATTTCAAATCGTATTTGGTCTTCCATTATTGTGGTTGAGAAAAAAAAACTTGATATAAATCAATTGCATATAAATGCAGTTCTTTTAAAAGGAGAATATTTTTTGTAACAGAAGATATATGATAAATAAACATGATAAAAATCCTCTAAAAAACTTTTCCCTTATAGTTCCTGCATTACACCTGAGACCAATAGATAAAGAGACTTGAAATTCTTGGTCTCCCATGGAAGTAAAATGAGGGTCAATAAAAATAATACTTCCATGGTCCTATATACTGTGTCTGTCATTATTTATTAAGGAAAGACGATATTTATTTTCGGACGAACGAAGTGTTGGGAGAAAATAAATGACATTTCATTTGTTTTGGTAAAAACTTTTCATAACAATTTGTAGAATACAACACCTTAAAATAGAACTATTTAATAAACATGAGTTTCAAATCCCTCAGGAAACAATTATGCTACTTTTGTTTCGGTGACAATTATGCAAACAGGAAGTTTCAACTGAGTTTTAAGTCAAGAATATGACAGTTGTTTTTCATTCGTTTGATGTGTTTGAGCTTTTGATTTTGCCATTTAATAAGGGACTTTCCGTTTTGAAGTTTCCTTGGAGTTCGGTATTTGTGTTATTTTACTTTTTATGAATGAGTCCAATATCACGGAACAAGGTTTCTTCTAGCCTGGGTTCGTGGCCCAATCTGATGTAGGACAGAAAGTCAAAATTCAGGTTTCAGATAATATTTTCTTTGAATATCCTTTGAAAAATGTTTCCCTATCAACTTAAATTTACATCTTCACATAATATAAAGTCTTATTTGAGGTATGAAACATCTTGCTATCACAATTTACCAAGATGTAAAATGCCTCACAGTGAAAATTTACCTGGGTATGAAACGTCTCAAAGTCTGTACAAATACAAAGCAAGAAGATTACAAAATCTCTTGTGTTTAACTCTGAAACATCTTTTCTTTTCTTTTCTTAGGAACAACTTTTCACAATCTTTTCTAGCAGTGGTGGGGAGTACCATGGAAGTATTATATGATTTTCCACAGGTGCTTTATAATTACCGTTCTCGATAAGAAATTTTACAATCCCGGTATCACAGATAGTAATCAAAGGGGTCTTGTCGCTGAGACAATAATTGGATAAAATCATATGACTTTAGTACAGAGCTCTGCAGGTCATTAATACATACTAATTTATCGTTGTTATTCCTTCTCATTTTACTTCCATGGGAGTACTAACCGAACATAACTTTTATACAAATTGTGACATAGTTTTGTTTATAATTGAGTATAACAGTACTTATATTAGCACGTTATTCTCCAAATTTTTTTTGTTCAAAAAGGTATAGATCCTATATAATATTATATAACTGTTTCTAAATAATATAAATGAAATGCTCTGCTGGGCGCAGCTTGATACGGCCGCAGAGGTCGAACTCTGAACAGTTGGGGCAAGTATTGATACAGCTCTGTGGTCCAATATACAAAATATAAATACACGGTTATATTCAGCATATCAAAGAACCCCAAGAATTCAATTTTTTTTCATACCCATAAATGAAGAAATGAAATGAAAGTACCAATTTGCTTATTCTTGTTTCAAGAAAGGGTTTCAGTAAAATTTAAGAATACAACCCTCAACTATATATTCCATTTAACACAAAGTAATATCACAACACAAATTCTACTGAAGTAAAAGAATAAATTTAAAGTCTCTTTAAGAAAAAGCATAATAAACCTTATAATATTCATTCTGTATTACAATGATGCCATAGTAGAAAATCACATATAAATAGATAAATAAAACAACTGTGGGATATCAACATTGTATGCTTTTCCCTAGCTATTGTGAAAATAAAACTTATCCCTATCAATTTAAACTAAGCTCAATAATAAAATGAATACTACAGTTGAAGAATGAGATGTTTACAATGCAGAAATAGTTCATTCACCTCAACATTGAGGAAGGACATTTAAAATTGATTAGTAATGCAACAGATAGATGTTAAATGAAAATAAAATTACCATATATCTCTGACAGTTTTGGACAAGGGTATAATTTCTATTTTGTATTTCTATCTGTAATGTCAATTTCAGATAGCTGACTGCCATCATTCGAATCTTCTGTTGTTGGTAATGTAACAGACATTTTTAATTTAACAGGCTCTTCAATGTTATCACTTTTCTTGTAGTTATCTTCTTCTTCAAATGAATAAGTAAGTCCAAGAGACTGGCCTCTTTCAGTTCTTGATGGATTCATATATCTGTATTCTGATGAATCTCTGTAAGTACTTCTGTCTATTGACTGTCCAGACTGAATAAGCTCCCCTGAGTAAGTAAGGGATTGTGTCAGATAACCAGACTGCACAAGAGTATCCAAACGCATTTGATCAGGAGTATATGCATGTGAACTCAGTTGATCTGTTAATGAAATAAAGCAATACAAATCTAAAATTTGAAACAAAAAAGCATGTGAAAGTATACTTAACAAGCATTCTGAGGGTATTTGTTATATAGAATAATGTCCCCTACTGACAGAAAAAGATGAGTTACACTTATAGTGTGGACAAACATTGGATTTTCAGGAAGATTTGGTAAATATTGTAAATTAAGAAATTATCGAGACCATGACATGACCAAAAAAATTTGAGATTAATTATTGCCATTTCAGGAAAAGCTGCATACAAATATATACAGATATATACATCAGATATCAGAATATGAGTTCTTTTTATTGCAAAACACAACCAGTTCACATAATTCGCATAAATAAAGAAAGAGGTGTTGGTTATTTAGTTGGGAATTTCCATTTCATAAGTATTTGGGTTAGAATATTTATTCAAAGACGCAAGTTTATTTTTCTCCAAAAAGTACCAACCCAAAAACATATCCTTATGCTTCAGTTTTTAAGTTCTGATGGATGGCAAATAAATCATACAGAATTTCATCTCACTGTAGACAGTAAGAAGTAACTTGCAGTTGCTTACTGACTTCAAGTGTCAAATATTACAGCAACATTTAGGACAATAATATATTTAACAGAGAGGCGAAAGATACCAAAGGGACATTCAAACTCATAAGTCGAAAATAAAATAACAACGCGATGGCTAAAAACGAAAAAGACCAACAGAAAAACAATAGTACACAAAAAACAACATAGAAAACTAAAGACTGAGCAACAAGAACCCCACCAAACACGGGGGGTGATCTCAGGTGCTCCGGAAGGGTAAGCAGATCCTGCTCCACATGTGGCATCCGTAGTGTTGCTCAAGTTAGTACAAACCCTGTAATAAGTCTAATTCGGTAGGTCACATTTGGGGAAAAGGGGACGGGATTGTAGTTATGACATTTGGAACATATCTGCTATTATCTGTTAAATGGATATTCCACAACGGTCAACCAACTCATGATGGCGTCCATAAAATTAACGAAGAGATGATTTCAACTTCACCATTTGGAACTCTTGGTTTATTTGCGTTCTTGTGAGCAGCAACCCTCTATCAAGGAAATCATGATAGGAAATACAAGCCCTGGAATATCGTATCAACTGGGAGATATATACTCTGTATGCAGGCGCTGCTGGAATGTTGCTACATAGAATTGGAAAGTTGACAATTGGGAAGCTGAAATCATCTCTTTTGTCGTAAAGTTTTGTTTTCAACCGACCCTCATTGTCAATTTCTAGATGTAAGATATGAGGCAGACTTAACTGTATCTGTTGTATCCTTTATCGCAAGTTTGATGGGATAGATGCGTTCAACATAGTCACCATTTTGAATTATTTAGTGAGAGAACATCATCTATATAGCGGAAAGTAAAGTTAAAGGATACTGCTAACTTCTTTTCTTTCTTCCTATGGTAGCACTCCACAGTTAGGTGTGTAGTTTCGCATTTTGGCCCCTGTGGATTTTTCAAATATGAGAGCTAGTGTGCAATAAAATTCTTTTTTGGATAGCTGAATATTATTATAGCCTTCATAGTGGGTTTATAGGAACATCAAGATTTTCCGTATGACAGTCCGTATTTTCATATCCATACCAGACACCGGTTCCGGCAATTATTGTAATGTTTTTTTCAAAATATTTGTCGCACGAACTTTGTGATTAAATTTTACGAAAAAATGAGGTGAAAGACATCAAATTTTTATTTGATCATTTGGTAGATTAATGTCAACAGTTTCAGAAAAAGTACAACTCAAAGGCATTGAAATTCTAGTTTAAACCAAATTTTGGGGGAATATGTGACATTTGCATGCCCCTTTTTGCAATATTTTATGGTAAATAAGTGCAGAATGTTGACGTGGATACACGAGAAAGAAATTATTATTCACCATTTTAACCTTTGGAAATCAAATCCAGGAAGATACTGATTACATACATATGCACATGTATGACACAAACAGTTGGCTTAATGTATTAGAAAGCCAGGAATAGAAGATGATTAAACATTGTGTGGTTCAATTTTAATTTTATTTTCTAACTGTGGAGTGTTACCTAAGAAGTTCCTGTATGAAGTCAGCCTCATATGAATAAAGGAACAAGTCGGAGAGAAGAGGGGCACAGTTGGTTCCCATGGGAATGCCGATTGTTTGTTGAAAAACACATCCTCCAAACGTAAGAAATATGTTGTCAATCAAGAAATTAAGCATCTTGATAATGTTAGTTTCAGAGAATTTTTTGTTTGAATCAGAGTTATTTTTTACAAAATAGGATGTATCCCTCCCTAAGACAAGATACTTGTATCTTCGTTGGCCATTCTTTTTATGAAATAAAACAGTACCAACTCTTTCAATTTGTCTTTTAGTTTGGAATGGGGAATACTTGTGTAAATTGTAGAAAAGTCAAATGTTTTAATACTATTGCAAGATACATACAATCTAAGAGTCTTTCCTCTTAGATTGTATGTACTCTAAAAGATTTTTAAGTATCCACATCTGATTCACGCCACCTCTAGAATAGGTAGTTTCACAATGACTTTTAAGCCCAGCTTTGATTGCTGATAAAGTTGATGTTAATAATTCAGAAAGAGGTTTTGTGAAGCACTTGGAAGACCCAGCAATAGAATGTTGTTTGTAATGATACTGATGTAGTTTAGGTATCCAATAGTGTTGGAAGATTCAGATCTTCATCTTTGGTTGAAATTCCAAAGGAACATAGAACAGACCTTTGAATATCCAGGATTTCCTCTTGGTAAGTGTTGTGGGGGTATATGTTGAGTTTCCAACATAATTGTCAATACCTACTTGATTTATCAAGCAGTTTATGTAATGTGAATTACACACAAAAACGATGTTGTTTGGGGCTTTATCTGCGGTGACAACAACATATTTGTCATGGAGGTAGGACAAGTGTTTAGCAACATTTAGGTCTTTTAAAGATTGTTTATCAATTGGGTAGGTTTTGTAAGTAGATGGTTAAACTGAAAAATTGGAATTGGTTTTGCACTGTCTAAAGACTGGATAATGTATTCAATGAATGTTTGCATTCAAATCATATGTGATCGCGTATAAAACAGTCAAACAGATACCCCCTTAATATTAGACTGGAGAAGTTTAAGTGACTATAACTCTATACTTATTTGACCCTTGCTTGTCAAAGAACGTCTCATCCTTTTTCTCAAAAAGTTCATCAGAAAGTACAAGACCTAATAGTTAAATATTCAGTGTCTACTTCACAGTTAGTACAAGATGGTCTTGAGTTATAGATTATAGCTGCTGAAGTTGTGTATCTTTTTATTTTACTTTAATTTCCCACTTATTTGTCTTCATGCTATTAAGTTTCTGTTGGTTGTATGACTTTTGACATGACTCAATATTTATGCATCCCACCATCAGGTTTTTGACTCTTTAACTTTGGGCATTCCTGGTGCAGGTGGGTCCTGAGGTGCGATTCACACAAGGTGTTTACATAGATGTTTCTATTTTGTTTATATTTACTTAATTTTTACTTTATCAAGAAAGTGTATACTATATACGGTATGTACTATCAACTACAAACACTTTTTTTTGTTGACGTCATTGTCAAATTTACACCTTTTTTGTTGGCATCTTTGTTAGATTAATTTGTATGTTTGTTTGAAATTTTTAGTCAGTTGTGTTGTATGTCTGTCCTGTATGTTTACACAGTTTTGGCTGCTGGATCCCAATTATTGTCACATTAACCTATTATGTCTGTTTGGGTTGCTCTACCAATTTTGTCAATACATTTTAACTATAAATGACTGTCATACAAGCTAGCTATAAAACCAGGTTTAACCTACCATTTACTTCGGAAAATGGCTGTACCAAGTCAGGAATATGTCAATTGTTTTTCACTTGTTCCATTGATTGATAGCGTATGAATTTGTCAGTTTATATGGACTTTCTCTTTTTGAATTTGCCTTGGAGTTAGGTATTTTTATTATACTTTTTTGTGTAAATTCCTTAAAAATTCAAAGTGTAGACCTGTTTTTTTCAACACTGTCTTCATTGTTTGGTCTTTGGTATTTTTTAAATAGTTTTTAAAAAAGCTTATTTTAAAAGCAAACTCATTTTTTTCATCTTGCCACGATCCAACCATAAAATATTAAATTCATGTATTGTCTTTTATTGTGTGTTTTACATTATAGGCATATACTTCAACTTCAATCAGGTTACTTAGTAACATCCGCAAGCAGACATCTCAATAAGGACTATTTACACACACGCATAGCAGAGCCTCAAAATTTTTTAAAAGAAAAAACGTATTTAAACTGTTCATTTATGTGGAAGTTTAGCATACTCCCTTGAATGCATCAAATTCTGGGACGTCTATCACAGGTGGTGGTAGTTGGTTCCATAAGATGATTGTTCGTGAAAAGAACGAGTATATATACATATTTACATTTGTCCAAATTGTCTGAAATTTCCATGCATGGCTGTGGCGAGTTGATTTTATTTCTGCCATAGTAGGGTGATGTTGAATAGGCACAGCAATAAGGTGGTGGACTACCTTATACAAGAGGATTGTGTCTGATGTTTTTCGCCGCTGATCTAATGTTTCCCAATTAAGATTTTTTACCATTTCTGTTGTGCTGTCTGTTTTTTTTAAATCATGTGGTTTATTGAGGACAAATCTTGCTGCGTTCTTTTGGACAGATTCTAATTTATTGATGTTGGTGTTTGTATGAGGATTCCAAATTGTTGAGCAGTATTCTAATTTTGGTCTCACGAGGTTGGTATATGCTCTTTCCTATACACTAGATGGACAGTGTTTGAGATTTCACTTAAGGAATCCTAGGACTCTTGATGCTTTCTTGCAAGTTTGGTCAATGTGCAAATTGTACTTCAGATTGTTGCTTAGTTCCACTCCAAGATATGGTTGATGCCTAACTTTTTCAAGAGTTGCACCTTTCATTTTATAAGTGAAATCTGTCTTCGATCTTTTGTTTGTGGCTGCATTATTGCCCATTTGGAAAAGTTGAATTCTATATGCCATGTGCTGGACCAGTTTACAAGTGTGTCAAGATCTTCTTGCAATAATTGATGGTCTTTTTCTGTGTGTATTGGTCTGTAAATTACACAGTCATCTGCAAACAATATGGCGGTGGAATGGAGATTGTCTGCAATGTCATTGATGACCACAAGGAATAATGTGGGTCCAAGTACTGTTCCCTGGGGAACCCCCCATGTTACAAAGGAACACCTGAAAGATTCCCCATCTACAACTACATTTTGGATCCTTTTGCTGAGGAATGAGTCAGTCCATGTTCTGGATGTTCCACCACTGCCATAATATTGTAACTTCTCTAATAGCCTTTTGTGAGCAAATTTGTCGAAAGCTTCTGCAAAATCTAGGACTGCTATGTCAACTAGGATATTGTTGTTCGTTTGGTGATGTCGTCGGTGGTCATCAGAAGTTGGCTTTCCAATGACCTTGTTGCTCTAAACCCATGTTGATTTTCATTGAGGATATTCTGGTCGTCTAAATGGTCCATAGTTTGTGATACTATGATGTGTTCTAGCACTTTTGATGCCACTGATGTTAATGACACTGGTCTGTAGTTAGATGGTTTGAACGATCTCCTATTTTAAATACTGGAACAATATTGCCATTTTTCTAGTCCTCTGGGATTTGGCCTGTGTTGATTGACTGCTGATAAATTCTTGTAAGTATTGGTGCAATAATGTTGGCTGTTTCTTCAATTATTTTCACTGGAATTTTATCAGGGCCGGTTGTGTGTATTCATTATTATTCGTGGGATACCAATTTCTCCATAAATCATTGTCATTGTATCATATTAATCCAGATACTGTGTAGTGTTTTTTTATCAATAAAATATTTGATTACTTCTCTCTATACAAATATTGCCAGCTTGAAAAAGTAATGTTTGTTGTGAGGAAAGTTTGCTAAGTCAGGTAAATTCTGTATATGGATACTTACCCTGAGATCCTTCAAAAGAGTCTTTTATGTCTTTGTCTGAACTTCTAACATGGATGGCATTGTATTGGTTCATGCCAACTGATCTATCTGGCTGTTCCACAGATTGTTTTATCTGGGGAGGTTTACGCATTGCAGATTTCACTGAAATGGAAATATTTCCCAGTTAATTTCTTTTAAGGTAATAATCAAGGCTTTAAGTAGTTTATGGAACAGAATGAGATAAGTGACACACTATCAGGATGATATAAACTACATATACTGTTAGCAACTATACTTTCAGCAATCTTTGTGAAATGTTCATTGAATTTATTTGCTATATCAACATCATTTTCTCCATATCATCATTCAATGTGAACTATGTGGAACCAATGCTGTTGTGCTATATTATGGGGGTTTTAGAATAGAATAGGAAAATGTCAATTGTCTAATGATGGATGGATGGATGGAGAAAAGGACAGATTGAAACATGGGTGATAAATGCAAAAGTTGACAATAGCTTACATGGACCTACTTGCCAGGTGAGCTCAAGAAAAAAAACCCCACAAATGTTCATGCTAAAAAGTCTTTAAGATCAAGGTTTTATTACAGGTACCACATAAACTTAAGATTGTGATTGATATGTGAAAACAAGGTTATGTCTCTTGGACCCTGTTAGATGGGCATACACAGCTAAGTCATTTCATACACCAAATAATTTGTATAGTTGACTTATTGTTTATAATATCTGAGAAACAGACAGACCTAATCACTAAATCCTATCATTGATCACAGATCTATGAAATGAGGTCAATGTCAGGTTGAACCTGTCTGACAGACATGTACACCTTGCATGATTCTATATACCAAATATATTTGTCTTGTTACTAATAATAAGAGAAAACTAGAGGCTCTTAAGAGCCTGTGTTGCTCACTTAGGTCTATGTGAATATTCAACAAAGGACACTCTCCAACATTGCAGACGAGAAAAGAATTCATGACAAAAATCTTTTTTTTTGTTGATCTTGTATTGCTGATTATTTTGTCTGTTTAGTTTCTCTCTAATTTCTTTAGTTTTTGCTCAAAACACAAAAGAGAGTAAACAAATCCTCATTTAAGGGCAGTCACTCCTATGAAAACTTACTATATCAACAAAATTTGACTGGTTTGTGGATCTTGCCTTGCTGATCATTTTTGTTATTTAAAGTTTCTATTTATCTATTATGATTTTTATCACATAAGGCAAAAAAGTTGGTAAAAATCGTCTTTAAAGGACAATAACTCCAATAAAGAGTCATCTTTAAATTTCCTCCATTTGTCTTAAATGTAGATCTTGTCTTGCTGCTCATGTTTGATTATTAAGTTTCTATCTATCTAATATAATTTTTGAGATATTCGGCAAAAAGGCAAAAAATTGGTAAAAATCGTCATCAAAGGCCAATATCTCTAATAAGGAGTCAACTCAATTTCGACAATGCAAACTTAATCCTAGATCTTGTCTCATTGATCATTTTTGCAACTTAAAGTTTCTTTCTATCAATTATAGTTTTCAAGATAATAGGCAAAAATGAAAAAAAAACGATAGACGCCAAGTGATGAGAAAAGCTAAAAATATGTGATAAAAAAAAATTTCTGAACCATAAAAATGAACTCGAGGATAGCAGACATAATTGCAAGAAATAATACAATAACTTATTATACCCCTGCCTTCAAGAACAGAGTATATAGTGATGCAAATGTTTCCCTCTGTTGATCAATCAAAAGTTTGGTTTCCAGATAATAATAAAAGTACTGCTTGTCCAAATCTTTTGAAACTTTCAAACAATGCCATCAACAATAAAATACAGGTCAAGAGCAATTTTGATGGTTTTGACATTTAATTTTCAAGAGTTTTGTCCCTTAATTTCCTTATTTGTTTAGTTTTCATTCATTTCCGGATGATAATTAAAATACTGCTTGACTAAATTTATTGAAACTTGAACAAAACATTGAGGACCATAAAATACAGTTCATTTTGGTGATTTTAACATTTACTGATCAAGAGTCATGCCTCTTAGTTACCTTAAAAGTTGTTTTTTCCTCCCTATCTGGTTGATAATTAATATACCGTTTGACCAAATCTTTTGAATTGAACACAATATTATGGACCATAAAATACAGGTCAAGTTCAATTTTGGTGGTTTTCACATGGACTGTTCAAGAGTAATGCATCTTAGTTACCTTAAAAATGTGTATTTCTTTAGTTTCAGAATGATGTTATTCAGATGTAAGTACCACATGACCAAAACCATTGAAATATGCACACAATGTCATGGATCATAACATCAATTCAAGGTTTTGACTTTTAGCGTTTAAAAGTGAATACTATCAACAAGTACTTGAAGTATCCCTTAGAAATGGGAGCCTTACAAAGTTTTCCTTTATTTGTTGAAAGTGATTTTGATACAAGGCCATTATCTAGGGAAACTTTCATTAACTACTTAAGACAGCTTTTAATCCGTCTTGGTTATAGCGAAAGTAAGTTCTGTGGTCACTCATTCAGAATTGGTGCTGCTACTGGAGTTGAAGATCATATCATACAAACACTTGGTCGTTGGTCTCTGACTGTTATATCAGATATATAAGAACTGATAAGAGGGTTATTTGTAAAGCACAGAAGAAAATGTGTTTTTTCTGAAATTCTATTATATTTTGCATGTAACCAATATCTTTTATTTTTATTTTTGTATTTGGTAGCATTAATATTATTTCTTGGGGCTTTCACTCATTCATTTTTATGACCTCATTCAATTTGACCTTTATAATTTGAGGGGAATCATCTCCCCCAATTCAATAATACATCAGATAGGTTAATTCCTGCCGGGATCTCCCCAGGAACGATTATGAATTTTAATGTATTATTTTTACTCTACAGGGATCTCCCCGGAGTCTCTTCGGCCTGCTGGGATCTCCACAGGCTGTTTATTCTATTAAGTCTATATAGCTTTACACCTGCAGGGATCTCCCTAGGTGAACATTTCATACAGTATAAAGTTAGCTGCAGGGATCTCCCCAGCATTGTAAGGTAATTTAAACTTTTTTTTTAACAAGTAATCACAGAGTTTTTTACTCACTGTGTATCATCGCCACCGGAAATTGTGTACTAACGAAGCGGAGAGAAAAATGAAAAAAAAGTAAACAAGGTAAGAATTCATTCAATTTAAAGCATTTCTACTGATTTGACGAAGGTACCGCTTAAGAAATGATTTTCTGATATATAATTCTTTAAATTATTAGGCCGATAAGTACAAAATTATGACAAGATTTTGTGTTATACTCCAAAACTTGCCACTTAGTACCAGAAAATTTCGAGGTCGATCGTCCTCTGTAGCCCTATTGACAAGATATTCAACTGTTTTTCATTATTTTTCCAGATACGTTTTTAGATTATGATAATGTGACATCATATTTACTGAGATTTGTTGTCAAAAAGACGTTTTATAAAAAATTTGGATCAAAACATTGTTTGTTTATTGTACGGCGTATTGCAGAATGTTGTACGGCGAATTACAAAATAACAACTTTTGGCGTCTTGCAATATATTGTAATTTAAAGATGAAATTAATCACTGTTTAGATAATATCAAGTGACGATATTTTGTCCATATCAAAGCTTTACCGGCTTTCAAATATACAAAATAAACTACATATCAAATATTATAATATATATTAATTTCGCTCAGAAGTCGTCGTTGCGTACCTCTATTCGACTTTGTGTTTTTAAAGACAAAAAGTTTTTTTTTCGACCATATTCTCCTAAAGACATTCATATATCGCTATACTACTAACGACTGTTGTCTTATTTGTTGTCAGGGTGAAATTTTGTAAGTTCAATAAAAAAAACGACCATTCATCTTTCCTTGGTGCTTGAAAGAATTTTTTTTTTAATATAAACAGTGGAGATGTGGTATGATTGCAAATAAGATAACTAATCACCAGGGTCAAATAAAGTGTATGTACTAAGCAATTATATGCTCTCGTCCGGCCTTCAACAACAAAAACACGTACCTTAAAAAGCCCCGACACGAAAAATATGGAAGGATTCAACAAGAAAACTAACGGCCTAACTCATAACAAAACAATGTACGAAAAACAACAAATACGATAGAGATGAACCAACGACAACCACCAAACTACATGTACAGGCTCGTGACTTCGGACAGACACTTTAAGAATGTGCTGGGTTAAATACATTGTTTATTTTTTTAATTTCTGAAACGAATAATTTGTTCAAAGAAAAGTGAAGAAAATACCCTTTTTTTCATTGAAAATTAGAAGAAATAAATCATGAATTGTGTTTTGAATTAATCTTCTTGAAATTAAGATTGTATTTTTTGTTAGTTTAAATAAATTCAATCAATCTTTTTATTTACAGGGAAAAAAGAATAAAACACTGTTGCTAAGGCTGTTTGGCCTAAACTTAAAGGAGTAGATGGAGGGGTAGTGAGAAGGAGTGTATTCGTCCGAATTCTCATTGTAGTACATTTTCATGATTACTATGTATAATATTTCTCAGTAAATTTTAACGTGATATTGTGCCAATTAAAATTATATAATTAATACAAGTAAGACTTGCATTTGCTTTAAAAGATATGCATGTAGCAGAACGTGATTATTTGTTTTCAAACACACCTTCTCTGTTTTGAAACTTATAAATGTATGGATCTCGGCCTATCTATTTGGTTGAATATAAATGTGAATTCATAGTGTTTCAAAATCAACAGTTAGCCTTTTTTTTTTGTGTGTGTAAATAATCTAATCTTTAGATAGATGCTAAAATTAAAATCATTTTTCTTAATAAGAAGAAAAAAGTGCAACTAAAGTACGCCTGGATGTAAAAAGGTGTACCCGACTTATTCTTTCACAATAAGAATTTACCGATTTCGGTATTTTAACAAAACTGTTTAGGAGTGCAAATAAATAAAAGAATGCTATCAAATCAACATTTAAATTTTCGTGGATTTTTCCAAAAGATTTTATGAGTATGCATCATCAGGAATTAAAAAATATTTCAACCTGTCCTTATTAGATGTTATTTGATTATATTTCTTTAACTTACAAGTCGAAGATGCTAGCTTTTGTGTATTGTATTAATAAGTATATAGCATTAAAATGACAACCAAAAAA